TAGTAAATTGATCAATATTTCTGCTTATTATAAAAAGTTTATTTAAGTACAATTACTTGTATAAATAATTTTTAAAAGATATAAATTCGATCTACTAATACATTTTTAAATAATTAACTTTTGTTCAAGATTTTAGAAAAGTTTTTTTTTTTTTAATTAAGGTATGAATTTAATATTAAAAATTTAACTAATTTAATTTTAAATAATTAGCTTTTGTTCAAGGTTTAGAATTTTTTTTTTTTTAATTAAAATATAAATTTGAAAAAAAAAAAAAAAAATATAAATTTGATATTAAAAATTTAACTAATTCAAATTTAAATAATTAGCTTTTATTCAAATTCAACTATTACAATTTGAGTAATTAGTTTTTATTCAAGTTTTATATATTAATTTTTTTAATATACATAGTTTTAATATATTAAAATTTTGCTATAATAAGTTTAATAATTAGTTTTTGTTTATTATTTTTTTTTTAAAAATATAAGAAGTTTAGAATATAGAATAGAATAATATTTAAATAATTAATATATATTTATTTATTTATTTATAATAATTTATTTGTATTATATTCATAATTAATTAAAACAAATATATTAAATAAAATAACTTTATATTTATTTATATATTGATTTATTATATAGTATTTTCCTATATAATAATACTTAATTCTTTAATAATTCACATTATATTCTATATCTAATATTTTTATTAATTATATCTTTTTAATATTAAAATACTACTAAGATACTCTCATCTATATAATTCTTATTTAAAAGTATTTAAAGCTCAATAACAAAAAAGTAAAAAAAAAGAAATTAAAATATATAAACAATATCAAAGACATATTAATGTGAAAAAAAACAAGTATTTAAATTAGACTATATTACAGAAAAGAATAAGTATCTAAATTAGACTATATTATAAAAAAAAAAAATATCTAAATTGAACTATATTATAGAAAAAAAAACAAGTATCTAAATTAGACTATATTATAGAAAAAAAACAAATATCTAAATTAGACAATATTAAAAAAGATAAATTAGATAATACTAAAAGAGATTAAGCACTTGAAAAAGCAGATAACAAGTGCTTGAATAGATATAAATCTAAAATTTTAAATTGCTAATTTTTTATTTTATTAAATAAATATATTAAATATTTAGATTGTATAAATTTGCAATTTTATATGATAGAAATTCTAAAAAACAGAATTTTTATTAGAATTAATAAAAAAAACAAGTTGTTTTATATATTTTATTATTCATTAAAGTGGTTTGTATATGTTAATTATTAATTAATTGTAATGTATCATATAGGGTTAGGTTTAACAATTAATTAGATGCAGGTATATGTTGTTAGTAAATTGTTACTTATATAATGATATAATTAATATTAAATATTTTTTAAATTTTGAAACTGAATAAAATTTCTATTAAAAAAATTTTTTTAAAAAATGCTTTTTTTGTTCAAAATATAAAGTATACTGAGCAATTGAGTAAAATTTTTATAGAAGTTATTATGTAAAATATTGAGGAAATACAGTTTGAAAATTAATATCATCTTATAAAAACACTTAAAATTTACTGAAATTCAAACTATATCTTCTCAATACTTTACATATTAACTTCTATAAAAATTTTACTCAATTTTTCAGTATACTCTATATTTTGAACAAAAAAGGCTTTTTTTTAAAAACATATTAAATTAGTAATGAATTTGATAAAAATTTGTTGAAATTTAGATTTTTTAATATAAATCATCATATTTGTTATACAAAAAAAAATTTACTAGCACTAGTTATTTTTATCTGACTATACATATATTTGATTTACATTAGACAACTTATCTAAACAGCTATCATTTTATAATATTGTGAGTAATGTGAGATAAGTAATTATTACTTAATAAATTACTTTAACTATCCCTAGTCAGATCGATATTTAATCAAATATAATAATGCTGTTTAAATATTATTTGCTATAAAAATAAATTCTTTCTTATTATTTAATGGATATTAGTAGAATACACCATATCTACTGATATTCATTAAATAATAAGAAATTTAGTTTTATTGAATTGATATCCTCCAGTTCTGATAAAATCACAGAGTGCTTCATCATAGACTGCATTACCATTGATATAAAGGTGAGTTTGTGAAAAGATGGTATGAGAGACGTTAACAGTAATTTGCTTATTACAAAATTAACTTTGATATAAATGAACAGCATATCTATTTTAACAATTTCCATTAAGTATATCTTGACAAGAAGATAATCTGCAAATAAAGGTTGATCGGTCTTTTTTTTTACAAAAAAAAAATAAATTTAAATGTTTAACCTAGTGGAATTACAACTTATAATATATCACAGTATGTAATAATACTCATCGTCATATGTGAAGTAATGCTATAGGTTATAACATGCATCATATTTCATCAAATATGAACACAAAGTTTATTTAATTTTTTATTATTATATTATAGAATTATAACTGAAATTACTATTTATGTCAATACAAAAAAGTTGCAATTCATTACAATCAAATTAGTTACCTCAATTACTAGTCTAACCTAATACAAAAACTTAATCAATTTTACTAAATCATTCCTCAAACAATATATTTGATATATCAAGTTTTACAAATACTAGAATATAGTATCTGGTATTACTATTTTTTATATGATTATAAAATAGATAACTGATAATACACTTTTAAAATCTTAATAATAGATACAAGGATTTAATTGATATAAAGTATAAAATAGAAATATAAAATGAGCATGTACTCTATTAACTTCACATAATCAGTTTGGTTCTTCTCATATAGATCATGTCATAGTTTTTGCTTTAGGCAACTATAATAAAAAATAATACATATACAGTAGCTAGAATATAAAAACAAGATTAGTAAGATTAATATTGTCAAATATTTGTTGTCTAACTTATGAATCCAGAAATGAAAATACTAAAATCGTTTGCATAGTAAAACATATTAAAATATGCAAGAAATATAATTAATATAAAACTCTTCTCTTCTAGTATTACAAATCGCAAATTATATGATATACAGCCTTCTCTGTTTAAAGAAATAATAATCCCTATTTTAAGATGTATCTATTATATGGTTAGAATACATTCTACTCTTATGACCAACTTTTTTGCATACTCCATATTTTTTCTCATTCATTCTAGAATCTTCTATTTTGAAAGCTACCTGTTGTTGTGATCATTCTTCAAGTATTTGTTGTGATCATTCTTCAAGAGGTACTTGCTGTGAACACTTTTCAGATACTTGTTTTAATAGATTCCTTCTAGTAGAGGACTAAATCTTGTTTAATGAACTAGTCATCTTCTAATAATATTGCACTGTTGGATCTAATAAAAATTATAGATGATTTTTTGATTAATATTGATAGTTTATTTCGTGCTATAGCTTGTTGAGAAGCTAACCAAAAGTATTTACCTTGTAAATCATTGTTCAAGTTCAAAAGTTTATCAATTATTGTTGAAGACAAAATTGCTAGCGAAACTCTTCTAGTACTGTAATTGTTCAATTTGATTTTGTAAAAGTAAATAGTAATTGTGTTAATTTACTGATATTAATAGATATTTACCAAATATTCTTGAATAATATGTATATATAGAACCTTTTTTTTATACTAGATTAGTTAGCAATATTTTTTCATATACATTAAATTATCTTTTTTGTGATAATCCATGTTTTGTAGTTAAACTTGTGGTTTAATGATGCAGTTTCTTAGTGAAATAATCTCTTTTTGTAAATTATAAAGCTTTGCATAGGACCCTGAGCTATATATAGATAAGTAACAATTTAATTTTGCTTATTTTTGACTATTTTTTTGCAGATATTTACTATTTTTAATAATATATATGCTTATTTTTGACTATTTTTATGCAGATCTTTTACTTTTTTAGTAATTTGTTAAGATTTTTTAAAAATCTTAGCTGTATATAGATTGCTCAGAGTCCTTTTTGCATGCTAACATGAAAAATATAAGTTTTGTTCTGTTCTTTTCAGCTATTTCTTTAATTTTATTATTTTGGTTTTCTAGTAATTAGATTCTTTCAATTCTAAGTATAAATTTACCTACTAAGACTTGTATGTATTTTTTTAATATTGCATGCACTTCCTCTATATGAGATATCACTGTAGTGCCTAGATGAAAATATTGGTCAGCTCATGCACTAATAAATTTTCTTTAAAAGGCAACTTGTATCTTAAATATAATTGATAATAATAGGGTTCCTACTTAAGTCTTGGTATTACAGGTGTTTTTCTCTCTTCGATATCAGTAATACTCCTTAAAATTTGGTGGTCTTGAGAACTCATTATATTTGATACATAATTCTGCTTATTGTATATTAAAGTTATTATTTATTTTTTTTTAATTTTACTATATTTGTACAATATTGAAGGAATATTCTTTGCCTTTCGTTTATATTTTTTTTGAAATTCTTGTCTACTCTTCTTTAGTACGAAAGTAACTTTTGTATTTAGCTATAATATTTTTTTTCTATATATCATATAAAGAAGATATTTTGAACTAGAAAAAGTATGTCAAGAGCACATATAAGTGCTAATTCCTAATTAGTTATAATAAATTTGATGTTTAAACCCTATCAAATTACTGAGATATTCGAGATAATGCCTATATATAACTTTTTTTTTTCATATTTGATGAATGTCATATTAAAACTTGTTACACTAATGATATTAAGAAGTGACATTTGTTTTTTAGGTACAATTTATATGTATAAGCTCAATAGATTTATGATGGGAAAAGAAAAAGTGTGATACATGCCATCGAAGTTCATTTTGATAGTTATACTCCTCTACAAGTGCCTTAAATTTTCTTGATGAAGCTTTATACGATATTAGAAATATCTTGTGTATTGTTAATATTGAAGAATAGTAATTCTGATAAATAGTTGATATATTTCTTGAGAACAAACTCCTTTGTTGTCATTTCACTCAACTGCCTAATATTCAGAAAGATAAGTAAGCAGATATTTTTCTGATAGTTCATGATTATGTTCTGAATTTCGAATCGATAAAGTTCATATATTATTGGATTCCTTGCATTTTATCTGTAAGATTTAATCGATTTCTACAACACAAATATAACTGAACCTTTCATATTTTCCATACTGATAACTGCTCTTATATAATTATCAAATCTACTTTCTAATTTGAGTTCTTGAATTGCTAATGTCCAAAGTCTGTTTCAGATTCTCAGCATAATTTCTTGTATTCTTTTGACTTGCAATAGATACAAATTCAATCAAGTTGAAATTGATTACCAGCTAGAAGAACTAATATAGTCATTTGTACAGTATTACAGCAGTTTGTAGAGGTAAGAGCAAATAAATACAAGTGTTGTGAAAGAGATTATTTCATTGTAATTCTTTTATATTAAATATATACTACCGTATATGACGTTTTTACCACTAATCATTTAACATTAATATCTCTGAGCGAAACTATTATATTATAATTACATCATTTTACTGATGTTCATCATTTGCAAAGCTCACTTTATATAGTTAATTTGCATCCGACACCAATGTTAAGGGCTAAATAGTAAGTATTTAAGGGCTTCTCGCCAGAGGCGTGATGTTAGTGATTTAGTTTTAAGTTTATTAATTAATTTGAATTTTATACTCCTATTACTGACTTTATTTTTATATAATATTTTAGTTATCAGAGGTTATTTTAGAACGCTAAATTATACCTTTCACAAAGAGGAAAACTTCTACTATTTATAATGCTTAGTTACATGAGGCTATTTTAGAACGCTAAATTATACCTTTCACAAAGAGGAAAACTTCTACTATTTATAATGCTTAGTTACATGAGGCGAGGTAAGTTTTTATTCTAATGGATTCCCCTTTATCTTATCACTTGTGACTTCTATTATTACTCCTTTCGCGTCACCATTTTCTCGTCATCACGTCTCGTCATCACGTCTCGTCACCACGTCTCGTCACCACGTCTCGTCATCACGTCTCGTCATCACATTCTCGTCACCACTTGATGGCTTAGTCAAGAACCGAAACTATTACTTTCACCACTTAGTTATTTTACGTAATCGAATATTTTTATATAATTTAACTATTTTGTTATTTTGATATATTAGTGATATGACCAAGAAATAAATAAATAGTAAAAGTTTGACCGGTGTATGATTTGAACTCCTACTTCGTAAAGCTTGTACCGAATAAATATCGGGGGGTATATCTTTTAGTCGTTTACAATATCAGTGTAGTATTAGTGAGAATAAATTCCTCTTTAGCCGTTTACAATAATTCTTACGGTCTTACTTATATTCCCTCTTTTATCCTTTAATGTATAAAGATATCATGTTCACTATAAAATTGTTTTGAATTACTTTACATTGAAAGTGGCCGATATTTGACTACTGATAATAACAAGAAGATATCTAACAAAACAGCAGTAACCCAAGCTAAATGCTTTACCGAAGCACTCAGTTTCAATATTTACATAACTTATGTTCTTTTTAATATAATATACTATAGTAATATACTGTAAATAGTTTTTGTTATAATAAAGACGCAAATAGCGTAAAGAGGCTTCGCTTCCTCTTTGAAAAAAAAAGAAGATATCTACATATTACAACTACTGAAAAAACACCACGCGGTAAAAAGAGTATCTGCTCTTATCTAAGCCTTGTTTGAATAATTCCCATTTAAGTATAGCTCTCGACGTTAACTTGAGTAAGCTATCTAGAGACTTCGTGCTGTCACATCAAACCATGCATTATGTAGTTTTATCAATCCGTTTTTGTATGAAATGTGATTAGCAATCTCCCTAAAAATTCGTATTACAATACACTCACTTTACTGTAAAAAGAATTGTATTTATTTGCGACTTTTTAAAATAACAGATTTATAATACCCTTAATACACAAATATACATGATCGGAGTGCAACAAACGAATGTAATAATAAAATATATAAAACAACTTGTTTTTTTTATTAATTCTAATAAAAATTCTGTTTTTTAGAATTTCTATCATA